AGGCATCACGGATGGTCGGGCTCAGCTACTCTGGTTCCTGCAGACGTTCCCCTTTGGGAGAGCCTCCCTCTCCATCTTGATCGCTCATAGACCAAAACGCCAAAGCAACTTAAAGGAGATCTCCAACCCTCTCCCTGCCCTGACATCCAGCCTCACTCTTGTCTGAGGGTGGCGTGTTCACTCCACCTTTCTGTTTTCTGGAAAGTTACGACCCTCTAGTTAGTCATTATCTCATTCTCTGGTTGGACTTGAGTAGATAATAGGAAAAGGTCTTATCTTTCCAATTGTGAAGACTAACCTATTTGGCAGAGTATTTCCAGCTACCTCTCTCTCTGCCATCTGGTTTAAGCCACGTACTAAATTTGCTTGTTGGTATACCTGTGCTCCCCCCTTTTCACTGAAACACCTTACCCATACCACCTCCATCTTAGCTGATTAGGGGTTGCTTTTCGGTAAGGTAAAATCTGTTAGAGTTAATCGACGGAAATCCAACTCAGATTTTTTAGAGGCATGGTCCTCTCCAAGGGAAATAATGACAGTAGTATTAAGGGTGCCAGGAACAATATGGTGCATTATTGAATGAAATGGATTAACGAATAAAATGCTGTGAATTTTCTCTCAAAAAAAATATTTTTTTAAAAAGAGGCATAATTGTGTACTTAAATATCATGCATACTTTGCTATATATATGTAAATATTCGATTTTAGAGAGGAAGGGAGAGGGAGCAAGAGAGAGAAACATCAATGATGAGGGAGAATCATCAATCAGCTTCCTCCTGCACCCCCCCCCCCCCCCCACACACACACACTGGAAATAGAACCTGCAACCTGGGCATGTGCCCTGACCATGAATCAAACCAGGACCTCTTCATTCATAGATCAATACTCAACTACTGAGCCATGCTGGCCAAGCTACAGATCTAACTTTTTAAAGATTAGATGATAATCTTCAAAGGCAAGCCTTCTATCAGTATTATACTTCAACTAGAGGCCCAGTGCATAAAATTTGTGCACTCGGGGGTGGGGTTCCTCAGCTCTGCCTGCACCCTCTTGCAGTCCAGGAGCCCACGGGGAGCGGGCCTAAGCTGGCAGTTGGTCATCCTTAGCGCTGCTGCTGCTGCGCTTGCCAGCTGTGAGCCTGGCTTCTGGCTGAGCAGCACTCCCCCATGGGAGCGCACTGACCACCAGGGGGCAGCTCCTACATCAAGTGTCTGCCCCCTGGTGGTCAGTGCACATCATAGCGAGCAGTTGAGCGGTCTTAGCATATCATTAGCATATTATGCTTTGATTGGTTGAATGGACGACCAGATGACCAGACACTTAGCATATTAGGCTTTTATTATCTATGATGATAGTGTTCAGTTTTAATGGACAAAATTATAGAATTGGCATTGTAATGTAGACAGGTAGGTTCTATGTCCTTAAACCAGAAAAGCATGTCACTGTTACTTTAGTGTGTATCTTACAGAAATACATTTTTCTGAACATAAAGGATTATTATCCTGGAAAAAAGATTCCAGGAAACAGGAGACCTAACAGATGAGATGAGGGTAAAGGGAAGTCCCAGTGTGCCAGTGTGCTGCATGCCTAGAGAATAACTGACACCCTATCTTGGTGGGAGCATCATCCCACACACCAAAAAGGGTACGGGTTTGATTCCTGGTCAGGGTATAGACTAAGTTGCATGTTTGATCCCTAGTTGGGGTGTGCACTGGAAACAACCAATGGATGTTCTCTCTCTCCCTCTCCCTCCCCTTTTCCCTTCCCCTCTAAAATCAATAAAAACATGTCTTCAGCCATGCTGGCGTGGCTCAGTGGTTGAGCGTCAACCTGTGAACCAAGTTCGATTCCCATTCAGAGCACATGCCCAGGTTGGGGGTGTGCAGGAGGCAGCCAATAAATGCTTCTCTCTCATCATTGATCTTTCTATCTCTCTTTCCCTCTCTCTTCCTCTCTGAAAGTAATAATATATTTTAAAAAACACACGACATATCTTTGCATGAGGGTTTTAAAAAAGGAATAACTGATTAGATCAGGGAATGGTGTGCTGCCAGAATTTTTAAAGCATGCAATACCTGACTATTTAATCAGGGGCAGTGACCTCTTTTCCTTTCCATTGTCAAATTAAAAAATGAGAACAGCCAATACAACAATAATCATCCAATGTGAATGAATCCAAATTATACCTATTTTTTGTCAGATCAGCAAAAGTACATGTTTTGATGTACTGCAGTTTTAGTAACGAGTTTATGTGTGCCATGAGATGAAAAAGGTTGACAATCACTGGTCTAGATAGTATGAGGAAGGAAGGCTCCTAGGGATATGTGTTCAGGAAGAGAGAAAAGTGATAGGGTTGTATGACAGGTTTCTACCTTGAGGAAAAAGGAATGGAAAGACAGTGTATTTTTTAAATATGCTTTTATTGATTTTTTTAGAGGGAGAAGGATAGAAACATCAATGAGAAACAGCTCCTCCTGCATGCCCCCTACTGGGGATCAGCGGGAAACCAGGCACGTGCAGTGACGGGGAGTCTAACAGCTGGCCTCCTGGCTCATGGGTCAGTGCTCAACCACTGAGCACCAGCCCGGCTGGAAAGGCATGTTACATGGGCTTCCACTGGAAGAAATGGGCCTCCTGCTTTTATTATGAGCCTTTTAATATATTATACCTAAACATGTATGTACACATTCCTCAGAAAGCTAACAGTTACCGAGAAATAAGCAATCAAATCAAGAATTAAGAAAATGGCAACGAAGTAAAATTTAAGAACTGACAGCAAAAATTACAGAACAGAAAACCAAAACACAAAGACATAATACAAAATCAAAAGATATGGGGGGGGGGGGGGTGTCAAGCGTGGAAAAAGGAGACGTAAAACTTTAGACAATACATAAAAAGTAAAAAAGAAGATAAATCACAAAATATGACCCAAATCATCTTTGAAAAGAATAATGTATATATATATCTTGTAGGATGAATCAAGAAAATAAAAAGATGGCCTATATAAAAGGCTATAATTAGAGCTGTGTGTGCTTTTTAAACATTACTAAAAAGCAATGTTTTTTAAAATTACTATGAAAATAGCATGAGCAATTTAAGGAAGCTTAAAATTTCAGATAAGATGAATAATTTTTGGCAAAACTTGTGTCCAAAATTGACTAAGAAATAAAAAACATAAATCAATTAATTACTGTAAAAACAATTGGATCAGAAGTAAAATTCTCTTAAAGATTTTCAGCCCAAAACTTTAAAAAAATATATATTTTCTTTTTTAATATTTTATTGATTTTTTACAGAGAGGAAGGGAGAGAGATAGAGAGCTAGAAACATCGATGAGAGAGAAACATCGATCAGCTGCCTCCTGCACATCTCCCACTGGGGATGTGCCCGCAACCCAGGTACATGCCCTTGACCGGATTTGAACCTGGGACCTTTCAGTCCGCAGGCCGACGCTCTATCCACTGAGCCAAACCGGTTTCGGCTAAAAAAATATATATTTTTATTTACTTCAGAGAGGAAGGGAGGGAGAGAGATCAATGATGAGAGGAAATCATTGATCGGCTGCCTTCTGCACACCCCCTACTGGGGATCAGGCCTGCAACTCAGGCATGTGCCCCTGACCAGAATCAAATCCGAGGAGCCAAACTAGCTAGGGTTCACCCCAAAACTTTTTTTTTTTTTTTTAAATATATTTTATTGATTTTCCACAGAGAGGAAGGGAGAGAGACAGAGAGCCAGAAACATCGATGAGAGAGAAACATCGATCAGCCGCCTCCCGCACATCTCCCACCGGGGATGCGCCCGCAACCCAGGCACATGCCCTTGACCGGAATCGAACCCGGGACCCTCCAGTCCACAGGCCGACGCTCTATCCACTGAGCCAAACCGGCCTCGGCCACCCCAAAACTTTTAAGGAAGACTTTTTTTTGGGGGGGGGGGTTGTACAGGGGGTAGGCTATTTTAAAGAATAGAAGAAAAAAGTTGTGTTTCCCAAATTATTGAGAAATATTGTAAAATATTTTCAGGTCAATACAAAAGATAGTACAAAGAAGGACTGAAGTTCCACCATAATTCTGAACACCAAAAAAGTCCTAAGTAAAATATTAATACATTGACTATGGTAGTGTATTTAAGTAGTGCTATATCACATCAAGCAGGTATTAACCAAGAATACAAGAGTGGTTGAAAATTTAAAAAGTATTATTACTATATGTAATAGTATAATGAACACTCTTCTACCCATCACTCTATTTTGAGACAGACCTGGAAATGCCATTATTTGTAAGTATTTCAGAATTTATCTCTGAATAAGCACCTTTAAAAAGTAACCAGGACATTATCACACCTACTTAATTAGCAATTCCTTAATATCGAGTATATAGGCACTATTAAAACGTGTTATATCATGCTTTTAAAACGTTTTTTCAGCTTATGGCCCACATAAAGTTCATACAATTTTTCCTTATTGCTCATACAATTTAAGTCTTTTAAGGTTTGCCTTTGATAAGTATTCTTGCGATGCCACCCAGTAACATAAAGGGATGAAGGAGGGCTCCTGGATGCAGACCTGTATCCAAGTCCAACCCCGAACCTGCCCAGCCTCCTGCAGACACTAGCAGCTCCCGGCGGCGGGGACGCCCGGTTCACCGGCGCCTGTTCCCGCCCTCCGAGGGCCTCACCTAGGCTGTCCTGGGACCGTGTCCCACCCCACGCGCGCGCCGACTTCACGCCCCGCGTCCCCCCGGCTGCTTTCGGGGCAGGGCCCTCCCGGCTCGAGCAGCACTTGGCTGACCGCTCCCCGTCTCCCTTTCCTTCGCCGCCTTCCCTCCGAGTCTACGGGCTCCGTCGCGCTCAGCGCCCGCACTACGCGGCCTCCGCGACAAGGGTGCGGAGAGCGGCGCCCCGCATCCCCGAAGCCGCCGGGAGGAGGGCGGGGCACGGAGCGCTGTCGGGCCGGACTACGTTTCCCAGGAGCCCCCGCGCCGCCTCGCGGAGGGATTCTGGGCTCGCGTCGCCGCCGCAGCTCTGGACAGAGGGACCGCTGCGCGGGACGGGAAGTGTGCGGGGCTCGCCAGGTGCGCGGGGCTTGGGCCGGGCCGGCAGGAGGGCGCGTGCGGCGGGGAGGAGGGAGCGGGGAGACCGCAGGTCCGGTCCGCGCGCCGGCTCTGCCCGCCGCCCACCGAGGCCGGGCTCGCAGCGAGGAGCCGGGGCTGCCGGCGCGGTGACGGGGTCGCTGCCGGCGCGGTGACGGGGTCGCTCCCGTCGCGCCTCCCGGGCTCCCCGCCGGTTCGCGCGGAGGTGCCGGGCAGAGGGTGACTTCTTTGGCGGGCAGCTGTTCTTACGGGAGTCCCCCTGAGTGAGTGACTTCTCCCCCTGCTGCTGCTTTTTTCCTTTTTCCCCTGGTTTTTGATTCTCGCCGCAGCGTGAACGCTCACGGCCCCGGCTTCTCGGGAGCGACGGCGGTTCCCCGCTGGGTGGTGCCGCCAGCCCCGCGCTCTCGGCCGCCGAGCGAGGCCTCGTCTACTCCCGTCCCCGCCGCCCGCCTGGTGCCCGCGGGTCCAGGCGGCTCACGGTTCGCGCGCGGCCTCCCCGGCGTCGCTGAAGGCGGCCGCCTCCTTTCCGTGAGCGTCGGGCACTTCCTAAAAGGAAAGTTGTGTCCCTAGAAGAGACCCAGCGTGGCTACCCTCGCTTGTTAAATGTGCAGGGCGTCCTGGCGGTGTGTGCACGTTATAAAGGGAGTGTTTGCTAAAGTGCATTCCGTTCTCAAGGTGTAATCGGATCTGCAACTACCAGCTGTGAGTGTGCACATGGGGCGGCACCCTGTGCGCACCCCTGGGTTCTGCTAGGGACACTGTGGGAGTCCTACATCCACTTTTCCTAAGTCTGGTAGACGAGGCTGGACAGCTTTCTGGGTGCCAGTTTGCTCTAAAATACTCATTGAAAATGTCAGTCTTATTAATATTTTTAGTGTTTAAGATCAATCACCTGCCCATTGCAGAAGCCAAATACTCATGAACTTATTCAGAGTATAAACAGATCCTGTTCTCTTATGTGTTTACTTTATTATTATTATCTTTCCTGTTCTCTTTTATCAAGAAGTGTATACTCCATGCCCGGCCCATGTGGCTCAGTGGTTGAGCGTGGACCCAGGAGGTCAGGGTTGGATTCCCATCAGGGCGCATGCTGGGACCTGCAGGATGCAGCCAATGGATGGTCTGCTGTCATGGATCTTTCCATCTCTCTCTCCCTCTCCCTTCCTCTCTGAATCAATAAAAAAAAATGTTTTTAAATACATTAGAAAGAAAATAAAAACATATTAAAGAAAAACAAAAAGCAAATGCTCCATATCCCTGAGTGAAGCACTGTCCCTGACTAGGTCTTGCCAGTAAGGACAGGGCCCTGTGCCTGATGTAAGAGACCCCTTGGTCAGCTGTGGGTCTCTTTGTACCTTTGTTCAGCCCACGGTGCTTCTTGTACTAGGGACTGGGAATAACGAGGAAGAAACACTAAACTTTCCCAGATAAAGTAGGGAATGACACAGAAAGGGAAGACATTTGATCTTGTAGGCTGTATTGGGTTTTTGCCAAGAGGCAAGAAAGGAAACAACATTCCTGACATAAGAATAGCATGTGTTACCATGGTGATAGGAAAAAGTGTGGGTAGTTGTGGAGAGCGGCCACAGTGTTTGGACAGGTTCAAGCTTCGGACTAATGAGAGAGCACAGTCCTTTCATGGCCACGTGCAAGTGCTAGCTTGGCGGGCAAAGCCCTCCCAGCACAATTATAGCTAAAGGCTATTGTTGTAAGTTTGAACCTATGATCTGAACACATGGTCCCACATGTCTGAGTGATGTGGATAGAGTTCAGGTGCACGTAATTGATTAGGATCGAAACCCACGAGAATGTTGTAAACATCTTGACCACGCCCTTACTTTGCCTTGTGGAATCTTCTTTACTAATAAAAGGGCAATATGCTAATTAGATCAGATAACTTCCGGACAAAGCCATGGTGGTGGGGCCGAGGCAGAGGTGGTTCGGGGTGATCAAGCCAGGAGAGGAGGGCAGTTGGGGGCAAGTAGGTCAGCAGGGGTGGCAGTTGGGGGCGAGCAGGTTGGCAGGGGAGGTAGTTGGGTCTGGCCGGCAGGGGGGCAGTTGGGGGCGAGCAGGCTGGCAGCGGAGGGGCAGTTGGGGGCGAGCAGGCTGGCAGCGGAGGGGCAGTTGGGGGCGAGCAGGCTGGCAGGCAGGTGAGCGGTTAGGAACCAGTGGTCCCGGATTGCGAGATCGGGCCTAAACTGGCAGTCGGACATCCCCTGCGGGGTCCCAGATTGTAGGCCGGGCTGAGGGACACCCCCCCTTCTGTGTGTGAATTTCGTGCACTGGGCCACTAGTCTGGCTATAAAATAAAGACATGGCTTGTAGTCCTTGGTGCTGTCGCTAGCTCCCCATCAGAGGGGACAGTGTCCCACCCAGACCCAGCTTTTGTCTCTTGTCTGTCTTTTCTCAGTCCTTCACCGCCCCCTCTCAGGCTCACTGAACCTGGCTGAGCTGGCACGGCACATAAGGCACCCAATGTGGGGCCTGAGTGCGGGGAAATTGTGATTGTGGGGTGAAAGGAGGCTCCGTTAAGGCATGCGTGCAGAAAGTGAAAGTAGGGTAGGGAGCAAGGTTCGGTAATTACTGGGTGTAAAACTTGGGAAATTCATGATCACAGGAAGGGGATCCCTAAAAACAATGCTTAGTGAAGCATTGTTCAGTTTTTAAGGAGAAAATAAGCAGTAGAGAAAGTAAGCGGTAGAAGATAGGAAGGTAGGAAATAAGTGGCAGAGAAGAGAAAATAAGATAAGAAATAGAAGATTGAAAATAAGAGAAATTATAAGATAGAAGATAAGAAATAGGAGATAGAAAATAAGAGGTGGAAAATAAGGTAGAACTCTCTTAGGTTTTTTTAAGCTACTGTAAAGCAAAAAATGGCTGTGGTTGATGTTGTTTGAGGAAGTAACTTATTTCTGACACAGAAGTGACCTACATTGTAAGCTCTTGCGGCAGTTGCATTGTTTCTGGGCTTTGGTTATTTCTGCTTCTACAACCTGATAGCTCCCCTGGAACTATAGGTCCAGACCCAGAGTTGGAGGTCTCCAGCTCTGCAGGACCGAGGGCTGCTTGTTTCCATGCAGCAGTGGCTGAAGAAGCTGAGGAAGGGACCAGACTTCTGGCTGAGCTGGCGCGACACATAAGGCACCCCACGTGGGGCTGAGTACGCCATGGCTGAGCGGGCTTGCCACAGGTAGTGTGATGGACCTTTTAGGGCTAGTGAGGTAGAGAAGGGCCCAACCCAAAAGATACGAAGTCCATGCTAAGGACTAGGTCCATTTTCCTGTAAGTTCTGGGAGACCAACAGAGAATCAAGGAGTGAAATTTGTGTTTTACAGAAATGATGCTGATGTAGACACTCACTGGTGTGGGAGAGACCAGGGGCAGAAAGCCAAGTTGGGTGTCTAAGTCGAGAATATGAGGGCTTGAACCAAGGCATAGCAGCAGGAATCTAGAGCAAGGTATTTAGGAGAGGGGTTTTACAGGATGTGATAACTGATTGCATGTTGAGAGAGACACTACCATTGCTGGGTCTGTAGATGTCACACTTTGTTGTTAATTTACTTTTTTAGAAGGAATGTGTTTTCAAGGGATGGTATTCCAGAATGGGAAGGAATTACTCCAAGAAGGGGTGAGGTTGGTGATACTCAGATTTCAGAGTGGCTTGAAGTGTTTGTAGCTGACAAGTTGGAGTCAGTCCTTAGCCTTTTGCACGTTGTTGGAACCGGCTATTTTCACAGCAAGTTTCAGGCAGCACTTTTGTTCTTTGGGCAGGTGTGTGCACGCGCCATGCAGGCTGCCTCTTCCCATAGTGGGATCTGAGCAGGCCGCCTTCCCTTTGACATCTCATAGTTCTCAGCTTCAGTAATCTCTGCTTGTTTAGCTGATGCCTTACATTGCATCGTTTATTAATTTAAGGGATTAACGTCTTTCAAAACTTGAAATAAAAAAGCAAAATCATTTTATTTCCTCCATTCATGTGGAAAATTACGAAATGCCAGTCATCTCTCTCTAGATCCACGGCTTATTGTATAGGATGTACCTCAGGAATGGCCGGGTGGAAGTGCTGCGCAGGTCAAGGTGTGTGGGAAGGGTCTTCCCTGCCTTGGCACATGGTCACCAACCGGAAGCTCCAGGTGTTTGCTTCATTAACTAAGAATTCTTACCCTGTGTCTGGCGGTGTTCTATGTGCTTTACAAATAGTGACTCATGTAATTGTCGTAGGGACCCTGTGAAGTAGGCACATTTCATCCCCATCGTACAGATGGAGAGACTGGGATGTGGAAAGGCCCAGACGCTACCAGGAAGTAATGGAGCGGGTTTTGAACCCCGGGGGTCTGGCTGCAGAACCCATGCTGTTGGCCATAGTTGTAACTATGCACCTGAGTCCAGGACGAGGATAGAAGACATAGTGGTCTTTTCATTGTAGACGTTGGTCTCACTGTGCGCCCTACGATGGGGTAGACAGTGGGGACAAAGCAAGTACATGTGTTGTGTCCTGAAGATACCCCGAGCCTCATTGGAAATAGAGACTGGAAAAGACTGAGGATGCAATGGTTAAGCTAATCATAATGTTTGAAAGCATTAGAGAAGACTAGGAAGTACCACAGATGAAAACTAGGAGAAGGAAGCAAAGTAAAGAATGAGCTTCAAGAACAGTTGAGAGGCCAGCAGTGCCCTCTCTAGTAGGTGTCATTGGTGAGACTCGTTCAGTGGTGTGGGGGGCAGAAGCCATAGCGCTTTTGTTTATAAAATGTGTATAAAATTGCAGTGGAAATTGTTAATATCTCCAGAAGAGAAAGGGGGCAAATCATATTAAAGAGAATAAAATACAAAAGAAGTATAAATGTAGACAAAATAAAAATATTTTAACACAGTAGTCAAGAGATTAAAATTTAAAATATAGTCTAAATTTAAAACAAGTTAAAAATGCAATGTTTATAGACTTCTGCTTCTGACCAAGATGGAGTAACAGGGAGTGATTTATCTTCTTGCCCAAACAACAACAGCAAAAAGGCAAAGTACATGAAACAATTGTTTGAAGACACTGGATGTCAGACAATGCAGGGCAGTCATCTCTGGGAGATGGAAAACCAACGAGGTAAGCCCTCTGGTCGCCCCAGGGTATTGCCTGGAGAGGGTTTCCAGGTCACGGCAGAGGAAGGTGAAACTGCAGTGGAGCCCAGCAGACTCCCAGAGTGTTGGGCATGAGCAGCATCTAGAACGCAGTGAAGGGAAAACTGTCAACCTCAAATAGTAAGCAAAAATATATTTCTACAACAAAGGGAAGGCAATGTATAGCATGGGAGAAAATATTTTTTATATGTTTGTATTGATTTTTAGAGAGAGAGGAAGGGAGAGGGATAGAACGATAGAAACATTGATGAGAGAGGAACATCATCAGTCGATTGCCTCCTGCACGCCCCCACGAGGGATCGAGCCTGCATCCCTAGCATGTGCCCTGACCAGGAATCGAAGTGGCAACCTCCTTGTTCCTGGGTCGATGCTCAACCACTGATCCATACCAGTGGGGCGGGAGAAAATATTAGAAATCATGTATATCTGATACTGGCTTCATATCCAGAACATTTACAAAACTACAACTTAACAACAAAAGTCAAACAACCCAAATTTAAAATGGGCAGAGAACTTGAACAGACATTTCTCCAAAGAAGGTCATACAAATGGCCAAAGCACATGAAAATAATGCAAACTAAAGCCACAAGGAAATACCACTTAACAACTACTAGGCTGGCTATAATAACTATTTCAAATGGAATAACACATGTTGGCAAGTTTGTGGGAAAATTGGAACCCTTGTGTATTGCTGGTGTGAATGTAAAATCATGTAGCTGCAATAGAAAAGTTTTGTGTGTCCTCAAAAAGATAAACTTTAAAATTACCATATGGCATAGCAATTCCACTCCTAGGTATATGCCCTAAGTAATTGAAAACAGGGACTCCAGCAGATTCTTGTATGCCAGTATTCATTGCAGCATTATTCACAAAAGCCAAAACCCAGATAAATGGATAAACAAAAGGTGGTCAGTCTTTACAATGGCATATTACTCAGCCATGGAAAGGAATGAAGTTCTTGCTACATCATGGATAAATCTGGAAAACATGCTAAGTAAAATAAGTTAGACACAAAAACACAAATATTGTATGTTTTACTTAGATGATATTTCCAGAATAGGCAAATTCATAGAAACAAAGTAGACTAGAGGTTATTGGGGCTTGAGGGGAGGAAGGAATATTGCTTAATGTTTAGGAGTTTCTGTTTGAGGAAAAGTTTTGGGATTAGTAGTGATGGCTGCACAACATTGTGGATATAATCAGTGCTGCCGAATTGTACACTTAGCAGAAAATTTTGTGTATATTTCACCATAATTATAAAGACTAGTAATGTAGTATACTGAAAACCATTTAATTTGTATGCCTTGAATGGGTAAATTGTATGATATGTGAGTTATATCTCAATAAAGCTGTTTTAGAAATGTACAAAGGCAAAATAAAGACATTTATTTTGTCTGACTTACAGAAGCCGAAACAATTTCTTATTAGCAGAACACGTTACCAGAAATGTTAAAAGATGTCCTTCAGGGATAAAGGAAATGAAACCAAATGGGAATCAATCTCTACAACAGCTGTTTGAAACTTGTGGATCGTGACCCCTTTGGCGGTCAAATGACCCTTTCACAGGGGTCGCCTAAGACCATCCTGCATATCAGATATTTACATTACGATTCATAACAGTAGCAACATGACAGTTATGAAGTAGCAACGAAAATCATTTTATGGTTGGGTCACAACATGAGGAACTGTATTTAAAGGGCCAGAAGGTTGAGAACCACTGCTCTCCAAGCAAGAATGACAGGTACTGCCAAGTACAGAAATAAAAGTATATTTATTAATATTTAAGTATCTTTAAAAGATAGCTGGCTGAGCATTAGTGTTCTATAGCTGTGTAACAAATTTCCACAAATGCAGCAGCTTCAAACAGCACTCACTAGCTCACAGTTCTGTGGGTCTAAATCTACTGAAGTGTGCTATGCTGTCTGCTCTGATACCTAACAGCTGATAGCAGGTGTTGGCTGGTGTGAGTTCTCAGCTGGAGGGTGTGTCGGGTGGGGGGTGGGGGATGCACTTCCAGGCTCACGCTAATTCCTGGCAGGGCTCTGTTCCTACAAGGCTGCAGGCTGAGGTCCCTGTTTCTGTGCTGGCTGTTGGCTCCCCGAGGCGGCCCACACTTCTTGCCACGTGGCGCCTTCTACCTTCAGGCCGGGAATGCTCACGTATTTCTTGTGCTGCCAGCCTTTGACTCCCTTCTGCGAGTAGCCGGAGACCTCTTATTTCTTATCTGTAAAGTGAGGGTGTTCGATCAGGTCAGTTTTTGTTTTGTTTCCCGTTAGATTTCCTAAAAAAGGGTTTGTGGTAGTAAAATAATTTGATTCCAGATGAAATTTAGCATTGAACCTTGGAGGTTAAGGGGGGGAAAGGCAATCTACGTTCCTCTTTTCTTCCTACTCCTGGGAACTTGTGGAGTATCTCTGATGTTCCTCTGCGGTGGTTTTTGAGTTCTGTCCTGCTGGGAAGAGAGTCTAGGCTGAGGATTTATGAAGCGTCCCAGGCACAGCTAACTTTCCTTGTGTTTCTTTCTTTTCTCCAGCTTTGCCTTCTTGGATCTCTCATTCCTCAAGAAAGTATCAGCAAGCACACAGAGGGCATGGAAGCCCAGTCACTCCCTGCCCGGTTCCCCGTAAGCTGAGCTGCCTTCTTTGTTTTCCAGCTTAGAATCTCTTTTTGCTTAAGTTCTGAAGTTCCTTTGCCTAGAACTTCAGAAATTGTATCTCAGACATTCTTCTCCAGGAGACTAGCACCATTTATTTGTTTTATTGGCAGGAATGTTTTTATTTCCGTTCATATAAAAAACCTCAAGTTTATGAGTAATGTGGTCAATAAATAGTCAAGTGAGGTAATATTGAGGACTGAAGACTTTTTGTTTGCACTTTTAAATAAAAGTGCTTCTTATAGTTTCTAAACCTAAAGCTTAGCAGAACTGGTTTTGGGACAATAAGTACCTTTTAGGACTTGACCAGAATCCAACACAAATAGTACTGACTCCTAAATAAATTCATGTTCACCTTCTTTCCCTCCCCCAGTGCTCTCTGCCGAAACTCTCTGTCAGGATTCAGGAAAGGGAGAGAGACAGTCTGGCTCAATGCAAACTTGTTTCATGTTGTAGGCACCGGTGACCTTCAAGGATGTGCTTGTGAACTTCACCAGGGAGGAGTGGAAGCTCCTGGACGCCGCGCAGCAGGTCATGTACAGAGATGTGATGCTGGAGAACTATAGGAACCTGGTTTCCTTGGGTAAGGCGAACCTCTGTTTTTGGAGATGCACTGCCTGTGATGGTTTTGGTTCTTCATTGACCAAAAGGTATGGAGACCCTGAAGCATGTATCAGAGTATGAACTTGTGTTCAGGGACCTAATATCTTTGGGGCATAGAATAGGGGTTTTTATACTCCTCCTTTCGTGGGGGAATTAGTTTTGATTTGTTGAATTTATAAAATGCACATTTTGCTGCCTCTGTAGCCTTACCTTATCTGCTCTTCAGAAGTCCCCATGGTCTGGGGCTGGTGTTGAATCTGGGAGGCTCCTCTGGGTCCAGCTCAGAGTTCTGCAACCCTTGCCCAATTCCGTATCTTTCACTGTGAACAGGACATCGACTTCCCAAGCCTGATGTGATCCTCCAGTTGGAAAAAGGGGAAGAGCCATGGCTGGTGGAGAGAGGGACTCACCAAGATGTCCATCCAGGTGAGGATCAGACAAGTGCATTGCAGGCAGTAGCCTAGATAACCCATTGGTCTAGCATCCCTGGAGATAGTGATCACTAGTTCTTATTTCCTCAGAAATAAGAACTAGTGACCAACTCTTATCATCACTGTTCTCTCATTTTTACAGAATCATTTTTCTATCTTTGCCTGTCTTTTACCTTTCACGTAGTCCCTCCCACAGCCTCTGTGTGTGGGCTGGGGACCCCAGCACCCGCCACTGTCCTGAGTTCCCTCTGCCAGTTAGGAAACTGCAAACAGAGCTCATCCGTTCCCACTGCTCATTTTCTCTTCCTCGGAGCTACTGCTCTCAAGCACCTGTGCTCTCGCCACACTTTTGCTGTTTATTTAATGTCTTTTTAATTTATACCTATTTTATTTTCATCTTCATATGTAAAATGCAAATTGTTATGTGAATTCCGAACATCACTTCTATTCCCTACTTCCCTGTGTAGAAAACCAGCCTTCTAGGCTAAGAGACAGAAAGTACTCTTTGGTTTTCCTCTTCCTTTGTTCTCTGTAAGTGATCTTTTCACAGATTTTCCTTTCTGAGCTCAAAACTCAGACGTTTACACCCTGAGCCCTCTTTGGTGTTGCTTGTCTGAGTCATGCTGCAAATACCCAACTTCACCTGAGCCGAATAGCCAGGACACTTACCCGTGACCCGTGGGGGTTAGTACAGGCACAGCTTTCTAAGCCCCGTGCTGCCTGTATTCATTTCTGTCTGACACCTAATGTCTAAGTCCGTCAGGTGTGTCCAAGTCTGTCAGGCGTGTCCCTGCACTCAGGCTGTAGTGCTTTGGTGATGTAGACCAGAGGCATTGCCTGGCATGACTGCATTCATGGTCTAGGAACATTGTATCGGCTGTAGTGTGAAGAATACCTGTCATGGGGAGGACCTGGGACAAATAGACAGATTGGGTCTTACATCATTAATAGTAGGATTAGATAATGGGAGTGCCACCCTTTCTGTGGGATTGGTTTTATTGCCCCCCACTCCCACTTCACCGAATACCATATTCCAGTCCTGTGGTTTCTCCTTACTCTCTGCTCCTTCTGTGTACTGTTACCTAGCACATTTCCTGTGTACTGCTGTGTTCATCTCTGTCAAGGTTTCAGAACCATGTCTGAAAGCAACTCTGTATGTCTTATATTTTTGTCTCCACATACATCCCAACATTCTAATGTTAGGTTTTTTTTAGTTATGCAAATCCTTTTCATTTATTTCAGATTGGGATACTGCAATTGAAATTAAAGCAATTTCCAATAAGAGCATTTCTAAAGATAAACAATCCCATGACATTAAAAAGGAAGGAATGGTAAAGAGTGATCTGTGGTATTTGTCATTAGAAGAAGTCTGGAAATGTGAAGATCAGTTGGACAGGTATCAGAAAAACCAGGACAAACATTTGAGGCAAGTGGCATTTACCCAAAAGAAAGTATTTTCTCCAGAAAGAGTCAATGAACATGGTAAATTCAGGGAAAACTGTCTTCTTCCTGGTCAGCTAGTACAGAGAGGGTATTTCCACAAACAAGACTCATGTACTAAAAGTTCAAAAGGTGATTTAGTTATTAGATGTCATCAGGAAAGCTCTGTAAGTAATAGTAGTGAATGTGGCCAAACCTTCTGTCGGAACATTCACCATATTCAGTTTGCAAAAACTCAAACACGAGATAAATCCTACAAATGCCCAGAGAATGACAACTCTCATAGGCATGGCACATCCCATGGTATATCCAAGGGTATACATAGAGAGAAACCGTATGAATGTAAGGAATGTGGAAAATTCTTTAGCTGGCGTTCTAATCTTACCAGGCACCGGCTTATTCATACCGGAGAAAAGCCCTATGAATGTAAAGAATGTGGAAAATCTTTCAGCCGTAGTTCTCACCTCATTGGACATCAAAAGACTCACACTGGTGAGGAACCCTATGAATGTAAAGAATGTGGAAAATCCTTCAGCTGGTTCTCCCACCTTGTTACCCATCAGAGAACTCATACAGGAGACAAACTCTACACATGTAATCAGTGTGGGAAGTCTTTTGTTCATAGCTCCAGGCTTATTAGGCACCAGAGAACTCATACTGGAGAGAAACCTTATGAATGTTCTGAATGTGGGAAATCTTTCAGACAGAGCACACATCTCATTTTGCATCAGAGAACTCATGTTCGAGTGAGGCCCTATGAATGTAATGAATGTGGGAAGTCTTATAGCCAGAGATCTCACCTCGTTGTACATCATAGAACTCACACTGGACTGAAACCCTTTGAGTGTAAAGATTGTGGAAAATGCTTCAGTCGAAGTTCTCACCTTTTCTCACACCAAAGAACCCACACTGGAGAGAAACCATACGAATGTCATGATTGTGGAAAATCCTTCAGCCAGAGTTCTGCCCTCATTGTGCATCAGAGAATTCATACTGGAGAGAAACCATATGAATGTTGTCAGTGTGGGAAAGCCTTCATTCGGAAGAATGACCTCATTAAGCATCAGAGGATCCATATTGGAGAAGGGACTTATAAATGTAACCGTTGCGAAATTACGTTCGTCCTCAACTCTCCATTTATAGTACGTCAGATAGCTCACACTGGAGAGCAGTTCCTAACCTGCAATCGGTGTGGGACAGCACTTGTTAATAGCCCTAACCTTATGAGACACCAGACAAGTGATATTAGCGAAAGTACATATTAACATAATGAATATGAAAAACTTTTCACAAAGAACAGTAACTTTACTTAGCTTTGTAGAACTCTCTGGAGCAGTGGTTCTCAACCTTCCTAATGCCGCAACCCTTTAATACAGTTCCTCATGTTATGGTGACCCCCAACCAAAAATTACTTTTGTTGCTACTTCATAACTGTAATTTTGCTACTGTTAAGAATCGTAATGTAAATATCTGGTATGCAGGATGTATTTTCATTGTTTGTGACCCACAGGTTGAGAACCGCTGCTCTGGAGAGAAGCTGTACAGCTGTAATCCATGTGGAAAGGCTTTCAGTCTTGTACTGTCCTTTATTTTTTTTGCACTGAGGACATCACTAATCCATAGTGTGTGTATGAATTCATTTCTGAACGTCAATTAACACATTTTCACATTTTATGAAAAATAATTGTTTCCATACGAAGGTTTTCTCTTCTTGGAGAGGATCCTAAATCTTTAGTTTCTGTCCATGACCCTAAAAAAGTTTAGGAAGAGAATCTGTTTTAATTCTCTATAAATGGCTCTCCTGTGTATAGGGACTGACCATTATTTGTCATTCTCTAGCAAACAATATATATGTTAAATGTTCAGTAGTAAAATGTGTATATCTTTCCCAGAAAAAAAAAAAAATCTAGAAATGATTGTGAGATCACGAGCTTTCAGAACTAGAAGGAAAATGATTCTGTTTAACCCATGCTCTTCATTGTATTGTTGAGACCCTGTGAATTGGCTCAGGGCTCACATTTTGAAAAAGGTCTGTTTCTATTGATTTTTGAACAAGTGAGAGACATTGATGTGAGAGAAAACATTGATTGGTTGCCTCCCACAGGCGCCCTGACTGGATGGAACTGGCAACCTGGTTATGTGCCCTGACCAGGCGTAAAATTGGCAACCTTTTGGTGCACAGGATGATGTTCAACCAACTGACCCACACCAGCCAGGGCCGGGTTCACATTTTGGATGAAGTCAGACCCAGATCTAGATCACAAGCCCCTCCATTACTGCTGCTCTCCTTAGTGCTTACATATGTGTAACATTCCTATCAGAACCAGTTTTCATTGTAAGCAGTGGTTCTTTGTGTGAATGGAAGAGAAACCCCTTAACCAAGCCCCTTAGACTTTCTGATAACTTATGGCTCAATTTTTCTCAACTGTATAATGGAGGTACTACCAGTGTCTACCTCAGAGAGTTGTGTGAATTCGTTTGATAGCGTGTATAATGTATTTAAAACAGTGCCTGGCAAATAGTGCTACCTGTGTTGGATAGTAACATTAGCAATATTACTATTTTTAACATCCTAAGGAATGTGGGAAGAGAGTGTCTATGGATGATCACTGAAATATGATAGTGCAATTTGCAATATAAAAATGTATAATAAAATGCTTATTTATAGTGTATCCATGTAATATGCTGACATTAAAATTATGAAAAGTTCAGTAACAGGAACAATGTTGAAGCTGTCATGTGGTATGAAAAAAAGCATGATAAAAGTACATAGGGATTGTCCTGGCTGGTTTTGCTCAGTGGATAAAGCTTCGTCCTGCAGACTGAAGGGCCCCAGGTTTGATTCCAGTCACAGGTATGTACCTTGGTTGCGGACGCATCCCCAGTAGGGGGTGTGCAGGATGCAGCAGATCGATGTTTCTCTCTCATAGGTGTTTCTCACTATCCATCTCCCTTCCTCTCTTTAAAAAAAAAACCAGTAAAACATATATTTTTAAAAAGTACATAGGGATAAAATCAAATATGCAAAAAAATAAGTGAACTGTAAAAAATGAAATGAATGTTCCTCAAAACTCTTAAATTGGTCATATTAATAGTAGTCTACATATTGGTGAATTTGGCATTTACTTTTTTTAAAGTTTTTTTTTTTTTTTTTTTTTTTTTTTTTAAGAGAGGAAGGGAGAGAGATAGAAAGAAACATCGATCAGCTGCACACTCCCTACTGGGGATGTGCCCACAACCAAGGTACATGTCTGGAATCGAACCTGGGACCTTTCAGTCTGCAGGCCAACGCTCTATCCACTGAGCCAAACCGGTCAGGGCTGGCATTTACTCTTTTTTCTTCTTTCAACTTTCTGTTCTTTCCATCTCTTCTAAGAATACATATTACATTTAGGATCAGGAAAATAATCTTGTCAGTGATGGGATGTTTTCCAAAGTTCTTATCTACAAATAAGCTAGAACTGTAAGGGAGATTGAGAAAGTCACACGATACAAGATTAATACACAATAAACTTTTAGTTCTATGTACTAGCAGTGAACAATTTAGAAATGAATTCAGAAAAAACAATCTCATTTACAATGACACAGAAATGTGGAAGAGATAATGAAACAAGCAAGGTCTGTATAGTAAGAATTGTACATTGTGGAAGTTCCAGAAGATGTAATAAAGAATACATAAAACGTGGTAAGTGGAGTAAAACTAGTCCAGAATGGGAAAACAATGTTAAGATGGCAATTCAGAGTTTGGCATGTCTTCAAATTTTTTGAGTTATTAAAGTGTAAATTAGAACTGTTATCATATGACCCATCAATTCCATTCCTTGAATTTAAAAAAAATGACCGTGTAAAAAGATGCCATGTGTAGTAATTCACAGCATGTGAATGGACAAATTTTGTTTTAGCCCTATAATGAAATAGCACTCAGTAATAAAATGTAACAAAAACAACATCATGGTTATATCTCAAAAAACATTTTAAGTGAGACATAGAAGAGTATATACTATATGACCCATCTATAAAATTTTTCAGAATATGATGTGCGCTGACCACCAGGGGGCGGCACAGAATGAAGGAAGTACCAGGCTGGCAGCCGGGGGAAGGAAGGCCCCTATTGGCCCTGATTGCCAGCCAGGCCTAGGGACCCTATGTGTGCTCAAATTTCATGCACCAGGCCCCTAGTCTATAATGACAGCAGATACATCAGTAGCTGCCTGTGGTTGGGGCTGGCAGAGTAACAGTGCAGACAGGACCATAAACGCCTTTCATATGGAGTGAGGCTGTATGTTGTGTGTAAATTATACCTCAAAGTGTTTATTTGAATTTGGAATTCAGAAAACCATGGACTTTTGGGTAACAAAAGCTGCAGCTCCAAGTGAACACTAATACCAATAGTAAGAAACTAGACAGCTGGATGTGATGTAGCCAATCTGCTAAGCCCTTTAATGCATTAGATTATTTCTATAACTTTGAGGAAAATAGTAATACACCTTCTATAGTTAGGGCAAATTGACAGTAAATGGTGGAGCTTCATTTGAGAAATAACTAGCAAGTGTGTGGCAGATCTCATTAAAATAATGTTTGACCGAGTAGAAGGCTTAATAAAATTAGCTATTGTAATATAGAAAATACTTTTCAAAAGATTGACACATTTAAAAGATATCCCCCACACAGACCAAAAAGAATGTTTGAAAATGCCACTCGCTAATTTTGAGGGGTAGGACTAATTTTTATTAAAATGTTATATTAATATGTAATACATTTTTGAGTTGTTAAATTGTAAGAACTTTTACCAAAAAGCATGGACCTTGGTACACTTATACCACTGCCGTGTTTATTCTGTTACTGTCAATTACTGTAATTCCTTGTATTAATTAAAGCGGACAGGGCCCGCTTGCAGGCCGGGCAGGAGAGCCAGAGCTTCCGGCTGCAGCACAGCCCCTCCCGGCCCTCGGCTCCTCCCGGCCCTCGGCTCTCCCCGCCCCGTGCGCCGAACTCCCGCGGGGGCTTCTGGGAGTTGTAGTTCGTCCCTGTGGGCCGTCAGCGGCTTCGCCAGGCCCGCGGAGCTTCGTTCCGCAGCCGGCGCCTGGCAGCCGTTACCCGGTGCGGTGACCGACTGGAGTGGGCTCCTCTCCCCGGCCGCCGCCGGGCCAGCGCCCGGAGGGGCGCCGCAAAGTCTAGCGCGAGGACGCAGTCGTCTGGCTGCAGATCCGGGGGGTGGAGGCAGCCAGTCTCCCCCTCCCTCTCTGCCCCTTCAGGGTGCGGAGCCGACCCACCGAATCCCTTTCCCGCGCGGGTGCTGAGGGGGCGGAGGTGGGGGGCCCGGCGGTGCCTGAGGGAAGGGCCCGTCGGAGCGCCCCCGGGACGGGGAGACCCTCCCCTCCGTCCTGTCCCCGCGGCGCACCGAGGCGTGGGCATGGGCACCAGGGTGCGCACCGCTGCCATCTGGGTGAGTCGGTTTCCTCTCCTCGTGAGAAGCTGCCCCGAGGCCGATGGGCCCGCAGCGCGCGCCTCCGGGCGATGGCAATGCCCCAACCTGACGACAGGACTGTTGCCGGACTGTCAGGTTCCCTACAATCGGGAGGTGGAGAAGGTGCTCGTGTCAGGGAAGCTTCTCTGAGGTCGTTTAGGCGCCGCGACACCCTCCTTTAAGGAACGCCACTAGTCACGGTTCGTGCAGCGGCGCCTTCATCAACGGGGCGACTTGCAAACCCCAGTGGACGCCGGCGACCTGGGCCGTAGGGACCCGGACGTACCCGGTCGGACCCAGCGCACCGCCTTCCACCTAAGGAAGCACTTCCTGCTTCCCACGTCCCTCGCGCTGGGGCCGTTGCTAAGGAAACGGGGGTTCAGGGAACCCAGTCCCCGCGCTGCCGGGCAGCCGTCTGGTCGCCGAGCCGAGCAGGCGCTGGACCCGGCGGCGCGTCCTGGGCGCAGGGAGGGGCGGCACAGGATTCCGTGGCGCTCGGAAGCCTGTGCGAGTGAGACAGGCGTTTCAGACAAGCCTTGCTTTCATCCCTTCGCCATATTTCTCTCTCCTGGAGGTAACCAGTTTGATAGTTTCTAGTTGACCCTTTCAGTGATTCTTTGGGGATGATAAGCAGACAGACACACACACACCTGGCCTGACTCATTGCTAAGCTTTGTCAGGAAGCCTTTTTTCCTGCCTTGAGCCATTTCCTGGAGTTCAACATGCCTTATCTCACATGTACATCTTGGATTTTGTTTTTAAGACATTTTTTGGAATAAGCTTCCTCTGCACACTTTCTGCTTTACCTCCTCCCGTCCCCTCATCGTCTCCGATGATTCCTTAGATCCTCTTGTTCTCACTGGGTGACTTTAGGAACATGGCCCGTCACCTGCAGCTCGGAGCCTGGGGAACGGGGCTCAGACTCCGCTCCAGGGAGGCGCTCCCAGTTGGGGATGAACAGATACTGGTGACGTTGGAGATCTGCAGGGTGTGGCCCATCACGAATCTTCCCTCATTTCCCACATTTCCTCTGCGGGGAGCTGCCCTCTGCATTTGGGTCACCTCTGCCTGTCTCCCAGGTTTGTGAGACCTGCCACCTAGGTTTTGTGTGTGATAGATGTCTGGGCTTTTGCTTTTACTATTCTGGTAGGTCTCTTATTTCTATTGGGAGTTTTGGGGAGATTAAATAACCCCACTGCTACCGACCTCACCCTACTCTCAGTGGCTTAACAACAAAGAGGAACAATCAGTGGGAGAGGTTAAATGAATTTGTTCATGGACATAGAAATAGTGAGAGAAGGAGCTCTAACTGAAACCGAATCTTCAGTCAAAATCTACAGCTGGTGTACAGCTGCCTAAACAGGGTTTTCTTTTGAGCACCTGGTATCAGTTCTTACGTAAGTGGCTGCCCGAAGGGGTTGAAATCTCAGGTGCTCATCGTGCTTGTGGGGTTCCTAGGGCCTTTGCAGAGTCTGGGGTGGGGGGACTGTCATCATCGTGTTGGGTTTCCCGTTTTAATTTCTCTGGCTTCTGCCCCTCAGCAGCCCTGACCGCAGTCTGCAGAGCTCCCAGCCTGACCTGCAAACATGTTTTGTTGGGGCCCATAGGATACGCGCTCCCTAAAGTGGTTTGCTCTTGAATCCACAGGTCCCACCCCTGCAGGAAGGCGACAGTTCAGGCAATAGGATCCGAAAGCGCAAAGGTCAGGCACCCATTGTGGGCCTGGGGACCCCTGACCAGAGGCCTCTCCCTGGAGGACCCCAGCAGAGGCACAATCGCCACAGGACAGAGCAGGCCCTCAAGTGGCAGTTTATTTCCCAGGAACAGCGGGAAACCACAGAGTTCCTGGTGAGTTGCTTGTTTATAGATTGCCACTTCTTTATTGCATTCATTTATTTACTTTTTTGCTGGGGAGAGGGATGTGATTCTTAACTTCAAGGGTTAAGTTAATTACTCCTCAGTTCATGGCCTGCTTATCATTCCAGTTCCTATCTACCTTTATTTACAGATTTCCTGATTTCTCCATATTCAGTTTCCATCTTTTTCACCCCCTAACATTATTTTTAATTGACATTCTTTAGTTGATGTGTTTATAACATGTGCATTATTATTGCTGTGAATGTCTTTCCATTTCACGTCGGCGTGTGCATGCATATCTTGCTGCGATGCTTGTATTTTTCAGCGAGCGCTTGTTCATGAGGCACCTATGCTTCTGCGTTCATCCCCTCGGCTGCTGGCAGCAGGGTTGGTGTGTCCACGTGCCTCACACACCCAGCAGCACTGACCTTGTCTTTAGAAAGTGTGATTATAATATGTCTCCATGGGTTTTGTAGTCTTTGGAGTCCTTTGGCATTGTCAGGTGTTTTTTGTTTTTAATTTTAGCCATTCTAATAGGTGTGTAATGGTATCTCGTTGTTCTAACATGCAATTTCCTAATGGTAATATGATGTTGAGCATTTTTATATGCTTATTTTCCATTCATGTGTTTTCATCTTCAGATCTTTTGCCCCACAAACTGGCCACTACTTAGAGCTGTTCCTTTTTTATTCCCCTGAGTTATTAACATATCTTCTCTCGCAGTGGTCACTTCTGTAGAACCCTTCCCGTGACTCCCCCAGACATTTATAAGCAGCATTGCTCTCCTCTTCCTCTGTGCCCATCTTGTACTCTCTATTTTATTTACACCCTGTTTTATTTGTATGTATTTAACTCTGCACTGCTGAATGCTTCTTGCAAGCAGGACTGTATATCAAAGGCATCTAGTTGAATAGCTAGCACCTACAGGCCAGTAACTGTTGCAGAAGTAGGGTGACCAACCATCCATGTTTGTTTCAGCTTCTTTGACTCCCAGTGCATGTATACACATTCACCTTTGATTTCCTATGCATTGCCGAGCACTTGTGGGCAGGACTCTGTTTCCACACTGTGACATCACCTGCAGCTCGGTAAGGACCTGGCACCTGATATTGTCATGTCTTGAGTGAAAGGCTGACTAATATAGTGCATATTGATGAGGAGGTTTTCTTTCTTTTTTTTTTTTCAAGAGAAACATCAAAAGTGCTTTATTCAAAGCAATGTCCATCGCTAGCTACACATTTCCCCCACCTTTCAGGTACTTTGTGGATATCGTCCCAATAGAACTTTTCTTGTTTTGAGGCAGACCGTTCAGAGACCCAATTTTCCATTCCTTCATATGTTTTGAAGTACTGCTCAGAAAGTGCGTGTGCCATCGATTGGAACAAGTGGTAATCTGAAGGAGCAAGGTCTGGTGAATACGGCGGGTGGGTTAATACTTCCCAGGCAAGATCTTTTAATGTGTCTTTTACTGGTTTTGAAGTGTGTGATGGTGTGTTATCATGAAGCAAAATTACTTTGCCATGTCTTCTGGAACATTCTGGTCATTTCACGATCAAAGCGTGGCTCATATTGATTATTTGTTGTCAGTAGTGATCAGTATTAACGGTTTCACCTGGTTTTAGAAGCTCATAATACACCACACCTTCCCGATCACACCAAACGCAGAGCATTGTCTTCTTTCCAAAGCGATTTGGCCTTGCAGTCGATGTTGATGGTTGACCTGGATCAACCTGATGAGGAGGTTTTCAATAATTTTTTACTCTTGTCACAAAGTGAAATGTAATTAATGAAGTCTCTAGGTAAGCAGTCTGTTGTTTCCCACAAACTCAGTCAGATCATCTGAGATTGTAGGGAACCTGGTATTGCAGAGGCCGCTGTCGTTCATGGACGTGTGTGTGCACTTTACCTGGGAAGAGATGCAGCTGCTGGGCCCCGCTCAGAAGCACCTGTACAGGAGTGTGATGCTGGAGAATTACAGCAACCTGGTGTCTGTGGGTAAGTGCTGCCGCCCTGAAAGGAATGTCTGTGGTCTCCAGGCTACTTCTTGGTCGCTGAAAGCTGGGAAGTGGGGAGTGGGGCTTTTGTAAATCCTTAGTGATTTTAAACTTCTAGTCAGAGGCCAGGTTTTCTTAGTCTCCCTTTGTCATCAGATTATGCTAGTTGAATGTCTTTATTTAGCCAAAGTACAAAAGGGAAGCTTCACCATGCTGTCTCTTAACTGAATTGTCCCCCTCCTTCAGCATCCCTGAGTCCTGGGTGGCTTCAGTCTAAATTGTCTGATTCTCCATTCACAGGGTATCAACACACCAAACCTGACATCATCCTCCAGCTGGAACAAGAAGAGCTGTGCACGATGCAGGGCCGAATTCTAAGTCACGGCCATCCAGGTGAGTGATCAGGACATTTAGATTTTTACATTTTTATTTGGAATTGGTGTGAATTCTGAAGTGATGTGCACCTCATGTTTGTGCTTCTTGTCTCAGCTGTACCCATCCTCTCCTACTTACTCTCCTCTCTGTCTTTTTCAGTCTTCCTGCTTTCCCATCTAGCAGACACACTTCATTATGCATCTGAGCAGCTTCTCCTTGATATCACTTGATGTAATTTTCACATCCCTTCTCTTTCTTTTTAAAAATGTATTTTAAAATCCCTTACGCTTATCTTCCACAGCAGTCCCAACTTCCTTCTCCCTGCACCACCCCTCCATGCTTCTCCATGCTGGTCACTGGTGTTACCACTGTCCTTGCCAAGAGCATTTCTGCATCAGTTGATAGTGTCTTTTTTCCCGCCTGCAGCCGTCCCCCCTGCACCCTCTGCACCCTCTGTCACAGTGCACAGGGTGGGATGACTCTCCTCACACTTCCTGGACTTCTCTTGCTGTTCCCTCCGAGTCCAAAGGGGTATTTTTTTAGATTCATCACTTTCCTCACATAGTGTAACTTTAAAAAGACTTCTGTTCTAAAGACTTAAGCTCTTTATTCTCTTTTGGTGATGACAGTTCATCCCTCTTTCATCTGCCCTTGGGTACTGGGTGTGCTTGGTCCACAGGGCATCCTCCTGCCAGTGTCACTTCCTTATCTTGTTTTCAGAAACTAGAATTGTCTCTCCCACTGCCCGTAGCCACATCCCTCGTCTCCCACGTGTCTGACTGTTGCTGGTGCGTTCCGCTACGCTTCTGGCTCTTCCTGGTACTGGGGACTCCGCTTCCTCCTGCACGTGCAGTTCTCCTCACTGGTTTTACTAGGCCTCTTAGTACTTTGGTCCTTTAAAGAAGAAGTCCCCCATGTTTTCACTTTCCACCCACAAGGCCAACATTGTTTCATTTCTTATAGTTTTTTCCTGATTAGTCAAGTTTATTCAATTATCCTTTTTATGTTCTTTTTTTGTTTGTTTGTTAATCTCCACCCCAGGATATTTTTTCCATTGATGATTTTTATTTTATTTTATTTTATTTATTTATTTTTTAAAAATATATTTTATTGATTTTTTACAGAGAGGAAGGGAGAGAGATAGAGAGTCAGAAACATCGATGAGAGAGAAACATCGACCAGCTGCCTCCTGCACATCTCCTACTGGAGATGTGCCCGCAACCCAGGTACATGCCCTTGACCGGAATCGAACCCGGGACCCTTCAGTCCGCAGACCGACGCTCTATCCACTGAGCCAAACCGGTTTCGGCTCCATTGATGATTTTTAGAGTGGAATGGAGGGAGAGGGGTGATAGAGACACACACACATTGGTCGGTTGCCTCGTGCACGTGCCCCAACTGGGTTAGAGATCTAACCTGCAACCCAGGTATGTGTCCTTGACTGAGAATCGAACCAGCGACCCTTCAGTGCATGGGCTAAAATTCTAACCACTGAGCACACTAGCCAGGGCTATGTGAATTCTTTTTTTTGTTGTTGTTAATCCTCGCCCGTACTTTCCTTTTTTTAAAAAAAAAAAAATTTTTTTTATTGATTTGAGAGAGGAAGGGAGAGGGAGAGAGAATCACCGATTGGCTGCACTGTTGGGTGCACAGGTCCTTTATCCTTCCGACTGCGCCAGCTGTTGGATCCGAGCCCCTGTCCAAGGGACTGGACCTCTTCAGACACCAGGCATTTGACAGAGAAGCCATGAGAAGTTGTGGGTATAAGGGAGTCTGTATTGTAGCCTAAGTAGCATTGCTACTGTAGGAGCCGTTAGACAAAACAGTTCTTCAAAGCAAAGTCCCATACAGTAGCTGCACACTGGCTGGGTCACAATACATCTTTCCCACACAGCAGCAGCAGCCTCCAACATAGGAGCCATACGGGAGCCTCACACAGCAGCCATTATTAGAGCAACAGCCGCCCCCAGTGGCTGTAAACTGGCTGGTCAGTAACGGACTTTATAATAAGTTGGACAAAAGAGGCTTCTTTCTAAATATTGACACCACTATTTTGGGTTATAGAAGGGCATGCCTGCTCAGTGTACATAGTCACATTATTGTGTCCTTGCTCTTGCACCTGCATATAGCAACTTATCTTTGAGCACTCCAATTAGGATTTCCAGGCTCAGATTAGCCTTGAACATCTGGCATACTCTGGACAGGGTTCACACAACATCCCACACTGGGTATTGAACCTGAAACCTGGACATGTGCCCTTACTGGGAATCGAACCATGATCTCCTGGTTCATACGTCAAAGTTCAAACACTGAGCCACACCAGCAGGGTGAGGACATTTTTTTTGTTTTTTGTGTGTTTTTTAAAATATATTTTATTGATTTTTTACAGAGAAGAAGGGAGAGTGATAGAGAGTTAGAAACATTGATCAGCTGCCTCCTGCATGCCCCTTACTGGGGATGTGCCCACAACCAAGATACATGCCCTTGACCGGAATTGAACCTGTGACCCTTCAGTCCGCAGGCTGACGCTCTATCCACTGAGCCAAACCGGTTAGGGCAGGACATGCTTTAATTGGTTTTAGAGAAAGAGGAAGGGAAAGAGAGACAGAGAAACATCAATATGAGAATGATATGTCAACCAGTTGCCTCTCACATGTGCCTGACTGGGGATCGAACCTGCAATCTGGGTATGTGCTCTGACCCGGAATCCAACCTGAGACCTTTTAGCATATAAGGATGACACTCCATTCAACCAAGTCACACTGGCCGCAGCTTTTTTTTGTTTGTTTTTCTTGGATGGGAGCTTGTACTAGCTTTTTCCTGTGCCTGGTGTTCTGAAACATCATGATGATGCTTCTTGTGCGTTTATTTTCTTGAATTTGTGTATTTAGTGGAACTTTAGTCCCAAGAAGACTGTAATAGTTTGCAATGTTTTCTGCTTTTTCTCCTGAGCTTTCTAGTGTTGTAAGTAAGTATGCAACTATTGTTTATTAAACTAGAGGCCCGAAGCCGAATTTCATGCAAGAGTAGACTTTCCTTCCCCTGGCTGCCGGCACTGGCTTCCCTCTGGCACCCGGGACCCAGGCTTCCCTCACAGCCCCGGCTTCATCCAGAAAGTCGTCTAGAAGGTTGTCCAGAAGGATGTCTGGTCTAATTAGCATATTAAGTTTTTATTATTATTGATTATTCTAATGCTTAGAGCTTTCATCTATTCTCTGTATGTTTTACTCATTTTTCCTTTTGCCTTTTTTGGCTTGTTTACCCATTGCGCAAACCTTTTAAACTGAAAACAATCTTTACTTATTTTCAGTTGCCTATTCCTGTCTTTATTTTTAGTTTTCCTTTGTTTTCCCCAGTGCCCAGGAGTTTGGGGATATTTACACTTCATATTTTACTTATTTTCTGTTGCAATATCTGAAACTAAAACAATAACCTGATGGCATGGCACTTTAAGGCAGTTTTATGCTATACCATGGTCATGTTTTTATTTATATTTTTATTTCTAGACAAAGTATGGGAGTTTGATAATCACATGGAATGGTATCAGGAAAATCAAGGCAAGCTGGGAAATATGACAAAATACTATGACTGTACTACCTTTGGGAAACTATGTCTTCTTACTACAAATTGTGGTTTTTAAGACAAAATCTTTATAAATTTGGCACACATGGGAAGAGTTTGAAATATAATATAGACTTCAGTATTAATTATGGTGGAAAGAATCCTAATGGGTTTTATGCACAAAGGGAATCAACCCTTCATTCGGAACATGGACAAACTCTTTTTTGAATAAAATACTGTGAAAGTAATGAACCTGGAATATTTGTCAACAAGAAGTCACAACTCATGTGCCCACAAATCTATGTGGAAGGTAAACCCTTTGAATGCAGTTACTGATGGAAGGTCTTCAGTAGCAAGTCATACCTTGTAGTGCATCAGCAAACTCATGCAGAGGAGAGGCCTTACAAGGGTGATGGATGTGAGAAAGACTTCAGCAGCAAGTGCTACCTCATTGAATACCAGCGAAATCATACAGGAGAGATATCACGTGAATGTAATGAATGTGGGAAAATTTTCCGGTTCAATTCACAATTTGCTATACATCAGAGAGTTCACACAGGTGAGAATCATCATGAATGCTGTGCATGTGGAAACGTCTTCAGTAGGAAAGACCAGCTTGTTTCACACCAGAGAACTCATTCAGCACAGAAACCTTATGGTTGTAATGACTGTGGGAAAGCTTTTGGGTTGAACTCACAGCTCATTATACACCAAAGAATTCATGCAGGAGAGAAACCCTATGAATGCATTGAATGTCAGAAAGTCTTTCATACAAAGTCAAACCTTCCGGTACATCAGAGAACCTATACAGGGGAGAAACCTTATAGTTGTAGTGAGTGTGGAAAAGCCTTTACTTTCAAATCACAGCTCGTTGTCCATCAGGGGCTTCACACAGGAGTAAAGCCCCTTGTGTGCATTCAGGGTGGGAAAGCTTTCAGTTTGAAGTTACAGCTTATTGTACATCAGAGAAGTCACACAGGAATTAAACCTTATGTGTGCAATGAATGTCACAAAGCTTTTAGGAGCAAGTCATACCTCATTATACATATGAGACCTCATACAGGAGAGAAACGTCATGAATGCAGTGAATGTGGGAAATCCTTCAGTTTCAATTCATAACTCATTATACATCAGAGGATTCACACAGGAGAGAGCCTGTATGAATGCTACAAATGTGGGAAAACCTTTAATTGTAAATATCAGCTCATTCCACACCATAGAATTCATGCAGGGGAGAAGCCTTATGAATGCAGTGTCTGTGGAAAAGCTTTTGGTTTGAAGTCACAGCTCATTATACATCAAAGAATTCATACAGGAGAGAAACTCCTTGAATGCAGTGAATGTCTGAAAGCCTTTAATACAAAGTCAGACCTTATTGTACATAAGAGAACCCATGCAGGGTAGACGCTCTATGGTTGTAGTGAATGTGGGAAACCTTTACTTTCAAGTCACAACTT